ATTACATAATAGTTTTTATTAAAATTATGAATTAGCTTTTACTTTTGTATTTTCAGTTGTTATTTATTTATTTATTTTTCAGTTTTAGTTATTTATTTCTAGTTGGTAAATTTAGTGCTTCAACTTATTTCATTTAATATTTATTTAAAATAACAACAAAGACATTGTTACAGTTTTACAGTACAAAGAACAGTTTTAGTCTATGACAATAACCATGTACTATACTCATGTTATTATTGGTCAGGCTTAAAATGCAACAGTCCGTTCATGCAATTTGTAACAAGGGGTCCATTTCTTGAAACCCCTGATTCAGTCCAAACCAGTTGTGACTCGTGATAAACTTTAATGTTACTATCTACTGTTCTTTTAAAGCTGTTCAACATGGCAGATACAGCAGCTCCTGTACCTCTCCTTATATTCTAAGCTCCATCTAATGCTTCTGTTCACTCAAAGGCTATCTGCCTCCTGTGGATATTGATTGCTTAGCTCTTGATCATAGATTTAGCAGCATCAAGATCAGGCTGAATCCATGTATACCCAAGCTTCACAGAGAACAGTATAGAGACGTTTGTTGATATGAAATATTAACTGCATATTACCCATTTGTACAAAACATTATGGCTGTAACAAGCTAATCTACTAATTTCATTTATTTTATCAGTATGACATTCACTTTAAACCAAGCTGACGCAAAAGTCACGGTCAGATTATGCCTTGTGGCGATGCTGTGACCGACTGGTACAAACACAATGGGTATATTTGTTTTTCAGATAACATTCTCTTCTGCATTTAATTTAGGGTTCTAACACATTCAGCTTCACACAGATACTGAAGGTAGTTTTTTATAAAGGTGGTTTGACCCCTGGTAGACAAAAGACAACAGCACAGTCATCCCTAAAAGCGCTGACATGCACATGTGTGCTTTTTATTATTTAACGTCACCCAGTGATATCAACACAAGGTCAGTTTATTACGTAATGATGTTCAGTATGGTCATGAAGAGCTATGGAACCCTGAAAGAAAACATGAAGCAAAAGTATCTGGTCATGAAGATGGAGAAATATTCCATTTTTTTATTTGACGTTTTGCAAATAACATGTTTATATGAATGTCACTTTTCACATAAATGACTAAAAATGCATTCTAGCAATACTGAATCTGGTCTGTTGAACATTTTGATAATAAATCCTCACTTATTAGCAGACTAAAATCAATTCATCCATCTATTGATTCTATATCATGATAAACGACTGTAGTGATACTACACTGTAATGACACAATTACTAACTAATGACTGCAGTGACATCAGTGAGTCTGACTGATGATCAGGGATCCACAACAACAAATCATTACCTGATCTCTACTGTTAGAGTCTGACCTTTCTGCTTGCTGAAAAATAACCATGACAAAACCCAGAGTTTTCTGACTTCATAACTACTCATCTACCCAGCGGAGGACTGGTCAGGCTTCATGATAGACGATTGGAGAGAATTATTAATTATTACAAAAAAAAAAACATATACTTGGGCCCTTTAAAATATTTACCGCCTTTTTAGATTGAATCTAATGGCAGCAAAATTGTTTACAATATTTTGAGTGATTTTATGAAAAAAATATTTGATAAAAATATCATGGCAGTAAATGATGCACACCTAGCTGCTTATAATCCCAATCCAATACAGAAAGCATTCAGACTACAAAACATGTGATCGTTCCACATCATCAGTTTATATTGGCACACTACACTACCATTAAAAATTTGGGGGTCAGTAAGATTTTTTTTTTAAATTATGCAAGGATGCATTAAATTGATCAAAAGTGACAATGTTTCTGCTTCACTAAAGTATCTATTTCCACTAAAACTTTATAAAAAAACTGTTTAAAAAATATTCCACAAAAATATCAAGCAGCACAACTGTTTTCAACATTGATAATAAGAAATGTTTCAGCAAACCAAATCAGCATATTAGAATGATTTCTGAAGGATAAGGTAATGATTAACCGCGAGCCTGTTGAAAATCGATTTAAATATGTGACGATTCAAATCGGTTGAGATGCTAAACATATCGCATGTTACTTATTTATTTGATTTGGGGCTTGTTTTAAAATTTCAATTTAGTTTTGTTATTTACATTTAAATTATATTTAAATTTTGTAATTTAGCAAACGCTTTTATCCAAAGAGACTAACAAATGAGAACAATAGAAGCAATCAAAACCACCAAAAGAGCAATAATTTACAAGTGCTATATTAGTATATTATTATAGTGTTATATTTCAATTTCACAAAAACAAGTACAGTATTTTGTCCAAGCAATAATAAAAGGACACATTTCGTTTATAATTTGTCTTAAATCTCATTTTGTAAAAAAAAAAAAAAAAAAAAAAAATTTCTTCAGAAACCTCTAGCATTAACAATATTAATAAAACGATATGAAAACTATTTTTTAGGATGGCAACAGTTTAAGATTATTGGCATTGGCTGCTAACTAGGTATCCACACTAAATTAATACACGTGAACGCTGTTCCTGGTGTCATTTTCAAAATTCACCCACAGCCTTGTCGATATATAATGTACTTCCTATTTAATACCAACAATTTATGCCATACGCTTGCAATAAATTGGCCACCCTTCTCTATAAATATCAATATCTCCAATTAAAATACAGCTAAATCCAGTTGCAACAACACTAAATGTTTTTATTTGTGAACTTAAGATGAAAACACTGGACTAAAAGCTTCACAGACTATTAGAGGCTAGCCGATTCACCAAATAAAAACACTGAGTTGAAAATCAAGAATCATTTTCACTCTTTAAGCTTCAAGTGGAAAAACTTATGAAAAGTGCCATGAGATTTTACCATTGCAGTAACTTTACACAACCACACACACCATTCAATTCATATCATTCTGTCCAAATGATTCCCAGAAATGCTGTCTAGACAGGTTCTGAGACAATACTAGCAAATTGCACAGGCCATCATCTAACTGCACATGTCCTGCTCTCAACTTTAAGCTAGCCCACTATGTAGCTAGTCAACTCTTTTAACGGCAGAAATGAAGGATTGGGGTTATTATGAGATAAACAAGAAGCTAAAAGTTTCTCTTTTGTCTCTGGTCTCCTTAAGTCTTGCTAAACATGTGCTTGAGCAAACATGAGGCTGAATCAACAGCGTGTGTAACTACAGCAGCTGATGGAGAAACTCCAGCAGACACACTTCAACTCATCCTGCGCGCTTTCACAAGGCTGGAGGATCAAACTAGGCCTCTGAGACACAACACCTGAGCTCACAGCGATCATTACAAACACTGACTGTGTCACCGGAGCGGTGCTGTTAGGCGGAGGTGATGAAGAGGATGATGAAGGTGATGGTGGCTGCGCTGGGTTTAGCGGGATGGAGAGAGTCGAGCACTGCGCCACGCACCGCTCCGCGTTTATCGAGACTTTCCCCGCTAAACCACGAGCCGCAAGACTCCCTCAGAGTGAACCCTCCACACCGAGCTAACAGCACACTGACCGAGATGTGAAAACGGCGGCGAAATGCTCACCATTAAAACTTTGGCAGCGCTTTCCAGCTGTGAAATCACTTCTGGTGCACCGACCGCCGCCATCATGGTCGTTCTTCAGTGACGCGCCATGCACTGCATTGTGGGATTAAGCAGCACTTCGGGCCAGTGAGTTCACAGGCAGGCACTTTTTGGCAGACAGCACTGATGTCCCCTTAAAGGTTATGTAATAGCCTACATGATAATGTGCTATACCTTTTAATCATTTTGTTGAAAGGTAAAATCTGACTTTTAGTTTTTAATTGAATTCATATGTGTTTGTTTTCATTTTAAGGATTGCATTTGATGTAGACACTTGAATTTGTAGACAGCACTGTCAATTACTGCTAGTGTTTATCTTATTAGTATTTAACTCAACCAATTTATTCCCATAAAAATCAGTTATGTGATCAGGTGCATTATTATTCACATCTGTGACTGCTGGAATATTACCAAGTCAAAACTGATTATAAAATAAATGTACAATATTTTTACTTTTAGGTGGTTGTGGATAGGGAATGATAATAATGCATCATTTATTTGCACTTTTACTTAATGTAATAATACCTAGAAATATGCAGTTTTATTATTAAAAAAGGTTTTGATACTAATCACAACTAATCTGTTTTTATACTAATTGACAACAGTGGTATTCACATTATTGTAATCATTGTTCTCTCTAGAATAACGCATCACAATCTTAATAATAGGCCATTTCGATTGTTATATGCATGAAGTATCTGTATTTTGACGTTTTTGATATACGTAGACCTCATCAAGAGTTTACATCAGCCATGATGTAAAAAATATTCATCCTGTATGTAATCATAACTGTAATTTCACTGACTTCAAACTTAAAATATAATAAAAAGTAAATTTTGGTGACAAAGTTATTGCTGGAAATAAATGGGTTAATAATAAAGAAATTCATGCTCTGATGTGTTACATCAGCTAAAAATATCTAGGGTGTGACACACACACACACAAAACAAGAGGATGATTTGTTTAATTTAATTTAGACATACATTTACAAATGAGGACAGCGAAAGCATTTCTTAAACATTCTCAATTCATACATACATGTAAAAAAGGAGATATAAATCCAAATGCATACTGTCTGTAATACTGTAGACAAGGGGGTTCAAAAGTTAGCTCAGAAAAGAGAAAAATAAGAATAAAGGGACACAAAAAATATGTATATCTGTATAAATATATGTTCAATAGTAACATTATTATATAATACAGTTAAAAGATTACAAACGTCAAAAAGTCCCAACCCATTCATCCATTAAAATACAAAAACATACATTAGAGAAAAAGTCCCATCATCACACAATTCTAAATACAGTCAAAGATTGTCAACATTCATCCATTAAAATACAAAAACATACATTAGAGAAAAAGTCCCATCATCACACAATTCTAAATACAGTCAAAGATTGTCAACATTTAAAAAAAAAAAAAAAAAGTAAAACACAGAATCCATCCTAAGCACAACACACGCATTACATTCAGACCCTAAACCTGACTCTCTGAGAGATTCCTAGAAAGCTCATGCTTTTTCACTGAGTGGTCCATTCTGACGAATATGGGGTAGCAAAACATCTACCATACTTGCTTTCACACTCCATGGAGCTCAATCAACTTGTTTGAGTGGACCAAAGTCATGATACCAATTTGACTTGGTATATACGTTTACATTACAATATGTTTGTTAAGGTTTCACTTAACTTTTAGGAGTGATCGTACTGCTACAATATATAAAACAAATATGAATTGATCATCATCGGCTGTTTTTTTTTAAAGCTCTTTCAGTCAGCGGTCGTACAGGATTTTTGACAATATTGACTGCAAGCATGTAACCACATGATTGTCAATCAGCTTGAGAGATAATAACTAATACAGAGAACATTTTGTGCAGTGACACATTATCACCACAAATGATTAGATCTCAGAAAGACAATATTAAATGGACTTCATGCAGAAATTCAAAACGATCCTTATCACTGATCAAATGCATACAACGTGTTTCCATATTCATCCTGCTAAGACATCCATATACATGTCCTTCAGAGTCCTAATGACTATCATCCATTCTTGCTTCTTTTTTGTCTTTCTCAAGCTATCCCACCAAAAACACCCTCTCTCTTCCACCCAGGACCGGCCTGAGAGCAAGAAGCGAAGGCCTTTTCCATCTTCACCTGAAATACTGATCAGCACATGGTACACACACCCACACATTCATTAGAAGGCACACAGTTTGTCTTACACCAGATCAATCACACTGACAATCAAAACCACACTTTATACAAAAAGAGAGAGAAAGTATAAATGAAAGTATGATGATAATGATACTTTATAGTCTAATATTAATAACAATAAGCAGCATTGGGTCATGAAACTATACTGAAAATATATAAATCAATATAATATATACTTTAAGATAGCATAATTCAGTTTTAAAGTTATAAAGGCTATTTGTTGTATTTAGAAAACTATATAATGTATTTTCTGTATTGCACATAGTCATACCATCAGATACATTTGTCTTTTCTTTTGCCACTTTTTCACCATTTCTTAAAGGTTTCTGCCTCAGAGTATTCTTTACATTTCAGTCATAGACTGTCTTGTTATAATACTGTACTGTGTGGTCACTTTGAAATGGTGCAGCAGCAGCCTCGATGACAAAACATTTTTGCACTTGTTCTAATGATTCTGTTTCAAAGTTCACTGATGGCGACAGACAAGATCATTTCCAGTGGATCTGGATGAGCATGAACACACACAACAAAAACCACCCGTCTGACTTTTTAAGATCTTCTTATGAAACTAAATGCAATTAAGAATTCTGGGAAACAGGAAGAAGATAAAGCAGACAGAGTTATACAATGAAAAGCATATGAAGTCTTCGGCATAACAAGAAAAGGAAATAGCTGGAGACCCAGCTCTTGTAACTTTGTAAAGTTGAAAACTGTTATGTTGCAGATTTGTTCTGGATGTCCAGCTGCATGTCTGCAGCACACCTCTAAAAACAATGTGTGGCGCACATCTTAGATACATTTAAAGCAGCAGATGAATGTAAAGCAACTATTGGGAACAGGTTTAGTAAGCCTTAAAACAAAAGAAATCAAGCCAGGTGAGATAAGTGTTTGTTATCAAATGAATAAAACAGTACTTCGGCAACTAAACTAACACACTTAACGCAAAATAAAAATGTCAATATCGCAATGTTTTTTGTGGTATTTCATTTGAATGAACGAATTTTACCATGCATATTTCTGCATATTTTTTTATCTCTAACGTAATGGGTTGTTTAACATTTAAAAGAAGTTAATATAAAACCTTTAACAATAATGGGAGTTTTAAGATCCCATGTTCTTGAAGTGCTGACTGTACGTAAAATATTTTGTCTCAATATTGTGTCATCTGAGAGCACCGTTTGACCTAAGTCATGAAGTATGTATAACTGTATAATATTTACAAAAAGGCTGCGATTAGTGTATTAACTGCAAAATACTGCATGATCTTTTGGACAGACTTTGCATGAAGAAGTGACCTAATACTGTCAGTTCATAATGTAGAAGTTAAATCTTTAAAAGAATCCGCATGACACTTTACGGTGTCACTTTGAACCACTTGGTGGTGCCACAAAATCTTCTAAAACATATTTTTTGTTTTAGATAAATGAAGTGAAAATGACTGGGAACATACGGTAGGACATCTGCAAATCTGGCTTCCATACTTCAGAAAATGTTTCTGAATTTTACTATAAAACCACAAACCTCCACAGTTGTGACTGACAGCATGTTGCATGTATAAGCATTTATATTTTTGTGGGATTGCACTATGGAGGAGAATTGTGATGTTTCTCTCTGCTCTTGGCATATCTCCTAATCGCAACCTGACCTAGAGCCACCATGCCAAGCCCAGCTCTCTTCTGATCCTTCACCATGACCTCTGGTGTTTGGAATGGCTGTGTTAGCATCACCAGGCTGAGAGAGGTGAAGGAAGTGTTAAAATATGACGTAAGACTGGGATATTTTCCCCCAGTGGAATCAAGGAATGGGGCACAGTCGGCGCAGACCACACTAACCATAAGAGTAGAGTGGTTTGACTGACAAACCACAGAGCTGCAGCTACACGCATCTGTTTTTGTGCTCTCATAGGAGAGTAGCCAACTTTATCAGTCACACCAACGTCCCCATGAACTAAGCTGCGTGTATTTCCTTGGTCCCAGGTCAGAGCTTCAGTCATTTTTTAACAGGCAAAGGATACGGCATAATGCTTTTGGAGGAATAAACACATTTCACATGGAACTTTCTGCACTCCATTTCTGATGTTCTTCCATGCATTTAACCTGTACAAAAACACCCTGAAGAAAAAGTAGGGTTAAAAGGAAGTGTAGGAGATGCAGCGTGTTAACTGGCGAGGTCCTCTATGGGTAAAGGCAGAGCAGCATGAACACCCGATCCAACATTCTCACACATAAACCGGCTCACACCCTTCCCCTTGCTCTTCCTCCTCATGAACCTCTTCCTCCTCCAGCTCAGGCTTCAGGCCACCAGCCCCACTACTGCTGGGCAGGTCTTGCGTTGCCTCGGGGGGCTTGGGATAACGGAATGGACAGCCATTATCATCAAAAAACCTTCGGAAGGTGAACTCGTAGAAGGCATGCTCAGGGTGTTTGCCGTGAGGAGAACAGAGGGTGTCCCAAGTGCGGGTGCTGTCTCCACTGTCACTCCAGGCCCCTGGACCCCCCTCCTCTTCCACAGGGTCAAAGTTGGATGTATCCATGGGGTGGGCAATCTTCGGTCTGTATGGAGCAGGTTGTGTACGAAGATTGCTGGAGAAATCCATCTCTGCAAAGAATGGGTGAGCCTTTATCTCTCCAGCCCCGTTTCCTCCCAGACGCTCTTCAGCTGAGCAGCAGAGTCGACCAATGATGTCAACTGCCTCTGGTCTCAGTTTTACTTGTGGAGGCACCTGCAGAGTGTTCTCCCAGTTTATCACCTGTGGAGGTGATGACAACAACGTTATTCGTTAATTTTCACAATTCCATATATCCCAAACATGTAAAAATTTACCAAAGACAAGCTGTCTACTTTACTTCAGCCCTAAAAAAAAAGGAACCTGTGGAGGTGACGACATCAAAGTTAGCAGTGCCTCTTCCCTATTGTCACAATTCCATAAAACCCAAAAAGTTATAACTCCACCAAAGACAACACGTCTAGTCTGCTTACATCAGGGTTGTCCAATCCTTCTCCTGGAGAACCACTATCTTGCAGCTCCAACCCTAATTAAACACATGAACCGGCTAATCAAGGTCTTCAGGATTACTAGAAACTTTCAAATGTGTTAGGTCAGGTTAGACCTAAACTTTGCTGGACATTGGCCCTCCAGGAGCAGGACTGGACACACTGGTTTACATTAACTGTGTAAGCAAAGAGACCTAATTAAATGCAAACAGAGCTCTTACCTTAAGTTGCGTCTCCGTTGGGGTTGGAGCAAGGAAGGGTGGCTGGCCAACCAGCATCTCAAACAGGATTACTCCAACACTCCACCAGTCACACAGCTGTGTGTATCCTGCACATTAGAAAGTATCACACTTAACAGGAGAAGAGATCTATAAACACGGCACTTCCTAGTGACTAGCTTGTATTTCCGGTTGTCTTTGTGCACTCCGTACCTTTGCGCAAAAGCACCTCAGGGGCAATGTAGTTTGGAGTGCCCACCAGAGAGTGTGCCAGGCAACGCTGGTGTTGTCGAGTTGCCCGCTGTTCCAAAGTCATCAGCCGATCACCACAACGACAGTTAGACACATCATCCCAAAAGTCACTCGGCTCCATACTATCTTGCCGGATATGGTTCCCTATTCAAGCAGTGCAAAGAGAGAAAGTAAAGACAACCAATTAATTTGATTTGGTGAACACTGCAACAGTATTTAGGCCACTTTCAAACAGCTAAAAGCTGTGAGTATCACCTTTTCTTCAAGTCCCTTACCTTTTTGGTAATACTTTGAGTTGTGAGTCCAACGGAACCCAGTACACAGACCAAAATCAGTCAGCTTGATGTGTCCGTCCAGGTCAATTAGGATGTTGTCCGGCTTGATATCTCTGTGGATGAAGCCCATCTTATGCACACTCTCGATGGCCAGCGTTAGTTCTGCCACGTAGAACCTGGCTAAGGGCTCTGGAAAAACCCCCATACGGATCAGCAAGCTCATCATATCTCCTCCAGGAATGTAATCCATAACGAAGTACAGGCTGTCTCTGTCCTGAAATGAGTAGTACAACCTGACTACCCACTCATTGTCAGCCTCTGCCAAGATGTCTCGTTCTGCTTTCACTTCTTTCGTAGAGGCTTCATGGCATACAGAGCCCCCGTGTCCACTTTGCGTGTAAGACACACCTCACCAAAGGCCCCAATGCCGAGTGTCTTGATTTTGACAAACATCGATTTGTCCATCTTGGCACGTCGTAGTCGGTTGTAATTGGATTCCTTCTGGTAAAGCATCTTTCTCATCTGTTCCTGCTCTGCCTCTGAAAGGCCAGCCTGGAGGAGTGGAAGAGATAGAAGAGGGTGGCTTGATTTAATAACAATAATGCAATGACATTTAAACTCGATATTGAACACTCAATTAACACAACAATTGTCTGGAATGCAAATTATCGATCTGTGTATTTTTCGGTTAATGGAGTTCTAGCACTGGTTACCTTGGACATCTCTTGCTCCAGCTGCATCCTGCGATTGAGTTTCTGCTGATAGGTCTTCATCACGTTCTCCACATGCTGCTCCATGTAGAACTTAAAGGCGAAGGGAGAATAACTCTTAATGCGAGACTCCCGCTTCTCTTCATCACGGGCATTCTTTCGCACAGGCACAGGTGAGGTTTGAATCTGCTTCTTATCCTTCACTGCCTTCTCGCCTTTGCCTGTCTTCACTTTGTCTTTGGAGACTAGTTCCTCTTGCTTTCCTACTGAGACACTCTGGACTGTTCTACTTGTAGCATTGACATCTTGAAATCCACCCATGGCTCCAGTCTCCAGGGATACAGGCTCAGTTCCAGGTCCAGATCCAGGCAGGAGCAGTATAGTTTTGGGGTAGGGTGGAGGTGGACAGCGGTGTTCTTGATTGGGCTCCAGAGTAAAATTCTCATCTGGCATGTATCCATGAGACTCTGGTGCATCCTGGGCGTGTGCACTCAGCCACCCTGGATGGCATGGTCCCACTGCTGTCTTCGGCTCAGGCCTCATGACCCGTATACTCTTAACAGGTGGTTGGATTGGTGGAGAGGACACTGCAGTTATTGTGTTTGGCGGACCCAAAGATGCATCCTGCTTGCCAGCAACACTAGCTGCAGGAGGCAATGCCTGCCTCACAGTCACCTTCTGGTGGTTGTTGAAAGAATTGGTCCTACTGGGGACACGTACCTCCCCTCTAAAGGGCCCCTGTGGCTGCCTGGCTGGAGGAGTCCCCTCAGGACCTTGGGCTCCTGGCCAGTGATGCTCATAGAGGTCGAGGTTTAGACTGGCCCTGGAAGGAGTGAGGAGGCCTTGAGGAACATCAGAAAACTCACCACCCATAGCTCCAGGGGAGCGCTGCATCATGTGAACCTGGTGTGAGGTGGGACTGGCTTGGCGTGGGTGTGAATGTGGTGGAAGATATAAGTTAGGAGGGTAGCCACCAGCGTTTTGGGCCATTGCTCCTTTGCCTGGCATATTAACATAATTTTCGGATGTTAGCGGGGTCATCTTATTCTGGAAAGAAGCACTTCGTTTTACCCCGTAGCTGGAGGCTTCTATCATATGAGGCCTGTAGTCATAATGAGTGCCAGGACCTCCCGAGGGCTGAGGCTGGATTTGCATGGGTGGTCCAGGCACACTGTAGCCCATCATGGCCTGGTCTATCCCACCAGGGTAGCCTTTCTGCTGGGCTGGGCCAGGGGTGTACATAGGGTTCCCAGGGTTATTTTGGGGAGCCATGTTTGTGGAGTAGGCACCCATACTTGCAGGACGACCCATTGGGTTTCCCATGGTAGGACCCTGTGAAGTGTTGGCAGGCGGTGGCATGTAGTTCATGACAGGTGGTCCACCCATGTATGCACGAGCCATCTCACCCTCAGCCCCATAACCAGCTCCCTCATACAGTGGTGCTCCCATTTGGTGATAAGGTGGCATCGCACCATCCCCAGTGCCCTCCATTGCCGCTCTGTGGTCCATTAAATTTGGCATGCCAGTTTTTCCTGTAGTGAATTTAAAAAGGGTCATTTTGAGCTTAAAGTCAGTGCATCATTCATAAAATGAATATAGTAATATGTTTTTAAAGTGTGCACATACCTGGGGAAGTCTGTTTGATGACACGTACAATCTGTTCATTGTGAGGGTCCAGGTAACCCATTTTGCTAATATATTCCAATGCTGCCTCAATGTTACGGCTGCCAGTCTGTTTTAGGGCACGGACTGCCATTTCCTGTTTCAGAAATTCAAGCAGAGAACTATCAGAAAATAAGCAATGCATTCATTTTTTTGGTTTTCACAATGCATTTCCTGTCATCATGCACAAATGAGGCACTACTTCACTTATATAAGGTTTTTAAAAAGGTACTTGAGATTCAATACTACTAGTACTTTTAAAGACGATATTACAACTACCTGTAGGCATGGCACTCTTTGTTATAACCACAGAGATCAGTTTGGATTAAATCACTATGTGAAGCAAAGCAAAGCTACTGAGGCCATGACTTTTACTAAATTCCCACAAATATCCCACATCCGATGTAGGACAACCAGCAAGTGCAGATTCATTTGCAGAGAAATTCATGACTGGAGAGACTTGTAATAGAGCCAAAATTATATAAAACATTTTTTAACATTTTTTTAAATTTTCTTTTACATTTTAGGCAAAGTCAGACTTCCTTCACTTAAAAGGCAATGCTCTAGTTTAATTTAGTTAACATTCTTGAGCAAAAAAGGAATGTATGTTCTTGAGCAAAAGGAATGTATGTAGCTTGACAGATATTTTAATCAAAATTGGTATCGTACAGTTTTGGAATTTGTACTGGTTATGGAAAATGACCTTAATGCACTTCAGTTATTTAGATAAACACATATGTCCACATGAACATGCACGTAAATATAAATCAAGCCATAGTACATACACACACAGCAGATAATTGTTAAAATAACATTCCCTGCAGCTGCTTCCTCTGCAAGTTAGCACAAGTTCCTTCCTGTGCCAGCCCACAAGTGCACTATGACCAGAGCTGGGCACATCTGACAACACATCACACTGTGTGACCCTTGAAATGATTCATAGATTTGATGGTAAAACTTATGGAACATTAATTTTAATTTTAAACTTATTTTTCTTCATTTTTGATAATTATACTAAATTCAAAGTAATAAAAAATATTACAAAAATGTAAATTATTTATAATTTAATAATTAATAATTTAATTAATAATAATTAATAATAATAATAATTTATGCATTTAGCAGACACTTTTATCCAAAGCGACTTACAGTACATTCAGGATATACATTTTTTACCAGTATGTGTGTTCCCTGGAAATTGAACCCACGACCTTTTTCGCTGCTAATGCAATGCTCTACCCCTGAGCCACAGGAACACATTTATTGAATTTAATTTAAACTTGAATCTTTACACGATTACCCACCATGCAACAACTCTGTTTAAATGTCATTTTGTGACGGCACAATTTAAAATAAAACAACTCAGACATGTACAATATTCTGTGAGCAGACCCACACTATATGAGGAAATCCCCTTGAATGGCATATGACCTCATTCAGAAGACATTCTGCCCAAACCAAATTCTACAGAACCACAGCAAGCTGTGTTACACTGCCTCTAGTGGTCAAACATAATACTGCACCAAGCATGCCATGGAAAATGGGGGGGATAAGTGCCTAATTCCGCACATACTTCTGTTTATGTCTTCTATGCATTCAAAGTAGCTTCATATTATGAAACTATGACAAAGTTAGAGTGATAATGACTATTCCAGAGTTTTGGTTAGATGGCACTGACAGAGTAAAAATCAATGGTCGTACACTGATGGTACACAAGCAGCTATTAACCTTGGGCACACTCAGTACGCAGTGCCACATCCACACACATTCTACACATTCCCAGAGTTGTTTAGATTACTCTGTGTATTGCCATCAGTTTGTCTAAAAGCTTACACAGTCGGAACTGTACAAAACACGCGGGAAATACTCCGAGCACACGCTGTTTGTCTGTGATCGCTGCTCTCAGAAGTGCCATGGCTTTCTGTTGCCTTCCATCACTGTCCGCTCCAAGGGTGTGTGCCTTCTCGTCCCCCTTGGTGATTTAAAGGCGCCACTCTCTCGTTCCCTCTTTAAAACCCGCACACACACACACAACAATCCAACATGGACTTCAGTCTGGTTTCGGGAAGGGCTGGGTCTGGTTTGGCCTCAGGTCAGAGTTTCAGCTCTGACCTCCACTGTCATGGCGACAGATGTTCAGGACATTCCACGAGCCAGCAAGCAAGAATTCCAGCTATGTGGAAATCTATGCTTCAATCTCGTTTTAAATTGTCCCTCCTCCTCTCTTTATTTTTGAGATCATTCGGTTCCAATGTGCCTTAAGCGTTCATTTGGTTGGTCCCAAAATATCTCGTTTGTATTTACACCCTTGTCATGACCACAAGCCTCAATGCTACACTAGACATTCAATTTCTGACTGTGGTGTCGGTAAGTACCCACACAGAAACACAAACATTTCTTTCTCCTTTTTTCCCAAACTCATACTTTAAAAAGTAAACGGTCTATAGTCTTCTTGAATAAAGTTACATAACTATATTCCATCACTATTCATTTTTAAGAGCTTCCACTTTGACCCAAATTCACACGTTCCACCATTGAACATGGTAATGAAAGCCATATGGAGGACTCTGAGATAAGGACTGGATGGGCATCATCATCAGTGGATGGAGAGGTGGAACATCATACATAAAGTAGCAAAATAGCTCAAACAGTAGCTAAAACAGCCCAGCATAGCACTAGCAATGCCAAGGTCATGGGTTCAAATCTTTGGCCATGCATGAACTGATAAAATGTCCTCGAGCAGGGATTCGAACTCGGGATGCCCACAATGTAATCGCGTTATAGGTCAGCGCACCGCCCACAAGAATGTCGGCGCCGACATAAAGTTTATTATTTAAGAAAAACATATGTCTTTGTAATCTTTTATATACAATAACTTGCTCTGCTCTTCTTTTTGGATGACGTCCTCAATACCTCTTACTTTTCAGCCCCTTCCCACCAACCACTGATACATGTTGCCCACCTTTAGTGATGTAATCAACTCCTGAAGAAAAAAGAAAAAAAATCAAGCCCTGTTCTACATTAGTTCTTGTTAAATATTCTGTTCCACTCACATAACAAAAGTCGAATAGTGTTTCAGGTTGACTTTAACGTAAAAATGCACAGCACTGACCAGTTGTGGTTCAAGATCCTGGACAAATTGGGTTGCGCAAGAAGGCTAATATAAACATTTAGATCATGTGCAAATGCGATATGCCAACACTGCACTAGACATTTATCATATCATGTATATTCCGCAAGTACACAAGCATCACATGCATGATGTATGCAGACAGCTTTTCATATCCTAAGCTCGAAACCACAAATCCACAACACATGTCATACTCATCTTCTTCCTACACCCCCCCCCCCCCCCCCCCCCCCCCCCCCCCCCCCCCCCCCCCCCCCCCCCCCCCCCCCCCCCCCCCCCCCCCCCCC